TTATATTTAATTTCTCCACACTTTCTTGTCAAACTATGAAGACTTTGCCTCAGATCCTGAAAATTTACATTTTTGTGAGAATTTTTATGGATTAGACTTAGGACTGTATTTATTTTGAGTTGGTTTTCACACAACTACAAGATTTCAATCAAAGTTCTTTTTTTTTTTTTTTTTCCTTCTTTTTTTTTTTTTTTTTACCTATTTCTGCCTGTTCTAGCATCATTTTTTAAAAAGATTTTTCATCTAATGAATTTATTTTCTACATCCCCCTGCCCCCAAATCCAAAACCAAAACTAGTAAATTTTCAAAGAGTGGACAAAAAGAGAGTATGTAAGCAGCTAAGTATGTCTCAAGAGGCCTCCCTTCCCTACTCCTCATTTTTTTTTCTTCTCACCCCAGGTAGAGACATGAGTTCAATGTCTACAACAACGAAGCACAATAGAGGCTAGATAGAGAGACAATTTCATGAAGGAAAGTACTGGGCCTTCAAAGATGAGGACTCTTCATGCAAGGCAAGTGCTTGTGGGTCCTTCTGGAGCTTTTTCAGTCGGTGGGAGAGGAGATTTGCCCTCCTTTCTGCCTCCCCCACTGGACTTACTGAGTCATAAGGCACTCTCCGTAGGTTGGAAGCCTTGAGTAGCAGAGTTCTACCCCCAGAGCAGGTACTGAAATTGTTGCTGCAGCAGCTTCTAGGACCTTCTGGTTCTGGGACCATATGGACTTGCTGTGTTTTTGGCTAGAGCCTCAGAGACCTGAGGTATCCTTATGCAGAGATTCCAGATCCAGCCTGACTTTAGAACTGTCTAGGTCTTTGTATCAGAACCACAGTTACTCTAGGCATTCATAGCCTTCTCTCCTCAATATCCTCATGGGGGGCATCTAAATCTCCTCCTGCTACGTTCAGATAGCGTTTCAGGGCTGAGTCTAGGAGGGTTTAACCTCAAAAAATTAGTGAATTGACAGGGGTCTGTGATTATAATTTCCTGAAGATCCACCTGTAATCCAGAGGGAATGAAGACAGCAACACTCTCTGCTCTCTGACTGGACAGGTGGATTGATTATTGTGTAGTTTATTTGTTTGTTTTAACTAGTGATTACTCACTGGCAATATGAAGGCAATGCTGTTTATGAGTCCATCTACTTTCTCATAGAGGTTTTAGATTTTTGTTGTCTATCTGCCATGAATTGCTCTTCTGTTTATTCTCTGACCTTCCCATCTGTGCCCTGCATGAACTTCTGTATTGATCTGAGAACCAAAAATTGCTGCCCATGGACATATTTATATGGGTCTCCTTCTTAATTTTCCATTCTATTTCATTGGTTGATTTATTTCTCCCTCCACTGTGTCTCATAGTATGGAGTATTGCAGGTACATGATCTCTTAAAATCGACCAGTTTGATTCCTCTCAAGATGGTATTTCTTAAAATTGCTTGGCCTACCTCTGTCCCTTTGTCACATCATATAAATTTTCAAATAATCTTAGATATTTTTAGAAAAAAAAAAGCTCCACAAAATTTTGATAGAAATAGCGTTAAACTGCATAAGAGCTTGGAACCAATTTGTGACTGTTGGGTGAATCTTCCAATGTGAAACTATCGTGCATGTCAAGTTATTGCAGGTGTTATTTGTCAAATGTAAATCTTGGCTATAAATTGCTAATGATACACCTATTATTTTGTCTTTTGTTGTTTTAAATTTAGGTTCTCACACCTTCATTGCTAGTGCTTAAAAGAACATTAGCTTTTGTTCATTCATGATATATATGAAGATATTGCTGAACTCACATTGCTGAACTCCCATACTAGGCATTGACTTTGTTTTGTTTTGTAGATTTCTCACGAGTTGTTATCTAGATAATTAGGCAGCTTTGAAAGAGTTTCAGTTGCAATTATTTCTATCTAAACTATAGTCCCTTTATTTCTTCTCCTTCTTTTCTGGCATGGATGGTGAGAACTGACATCTTAGCTTTGTTTCTGATTCAGTAGCAAATAGTGCAGGTTATCACATTCGAATAGAATGCCAGTCAGATTTTGTGGGTTCTCTCTGTAGAGCTGAAGAGGTTTCTTTTTACTTCTATTTTTTTCTGAAAACCTTTAAAACATACTTGTCTACTTTCTTTTGAGATTTTATACATGAGCACAGTATATGTATATATTGTTTTCATGCCCTCCATCTTCCCACCCCAACTCTTCCCATGTCTCAGCTGACATCTTTTTCTCTAATTCATACCATCTTCTTCTAGAATTAGTGTTTTATTCTATCTATATAGATATAGATAGCTATTGTGTGAGTATGTGTGTGTATGTGTGTATATGTGTGTGTGTGTGTGTGTGTGTGTGTGTGTGAAAGAGAGAGAGAGATGAACATATAGATGCTTATGATTGGTTATGATGGTGAATAATAGTCTGTTTATGCATCAAGTTAGATTTCAGTTCTCCATGTATGTAGCAACCTTTAAGAGATATTAAATATTTGTGGAGGCAGCATGCTAAGTAAATAGAATACCTGTCTCTAGGCTAGATAATCTCCTACAGAGAAAAAACTGACATAAAAGGCATTATTTGCTCACGTAGCATACTAAAAACTAGGTAATTAATGGTATTTTAACACTAGTGCTAAATTTATTGAGATTGATTAAAGATGTGGTTATAAGAAGACAGCTGCATACTTATGAAATATTTATCAAAATATGTAGTAGATACATAGCATATTTCTTATTCTCAAAGTGCTACAGTCTCCCTTTCTGTTTGTCTGTCTGTCTATCTTTCTTTCTTTCTATCAGACAAAATATAGTCAGTATAGGAAATATTAATAATAAATAAGTGCATAGCATAAAAATGTTTTGCTATTATTTTCACCATATTTGTATTTGAAGTTATTTACAGTTAACAGGGTATGTTTTTTTATTTTTTATTTTAGCTAACTTAGTGGTTCAATCTTCATGATGCTGCAACCCTTTCATGTAGTTCCTCATGTGTAGGTGACCTACAACCATATAATTATTTTCGTTGGCACTTCATAACTGTAATTTTGATACTGTTGTGACTCATAATGTAAATATATGTATTTTCTGATGGTCTTATGTGACCCCTGTGAGAAAGCCATTTGACTCCCCCACAAAGGGATCAAGACCCACAAGTTGAGAACTGCTGAGCTAAAGAATTTCCTGAAATTAATAAAAATGGACATTTGGAAGTTGTTAGCCATTTATTTTTCTCTGCTCCGTGCTAGCTAAGCTCACAAAACTCATGTAATAATGTGCACTGGATGCACTACAACACCAGCATATGGAATATGTGCCCAGCAGTGCCTTTGCCATAGTAAGCACTTGATGAACACTGGCTTCCCATGCATGCTGCAATAGTTCTACTTTCCATAGTGACCACTTGCACCACCATCATCACAGAGAAATCTCAGGGACCCACGGACTCCATGACTAACACTGTCAGTGTTTTGATCTCTATTTCTGTTCCTTTGTACTGCATTGTTATTTTTGTTTGTTGGTTTGTTTGTTTTTACTGGCCATTATGTTGTTAATGACAAACATTAATTTGAAAGTGAAATTGTTGCCTTTGTTTTCTATTGTCTGCGGTGGCAAGGCATGCAAAATAGGTCCTTTTTTTCTATGTCAGTTTATCTGGATTTTAAGATGGATGAGCACTGGACTGAAATCACAGCAATGTTAAAGAGAACAGTGGAGAAACTTTCTACTGTTACTCAGCATATAAACTTTGAAAGGTTTATTGTGTTTCACAATTGGCATAGTTAGCTGAAGTTGTCACCTTGAAATACCTGGGAAGAGACAACCTCAGCTGAAGAACTGTCTCCTTTGGATTGGCAAGTTTGTGAGTCAATTTTTTTGATGGCTAGTTGAAGTAGGAGGGCACCAGCCTACAGGGTGTACAGGGTGGTGTCATCCCTGTACAGATGTCCATAGGTGTATAAGAAATGTAACTGAGCAAGCCAGGAACAAGTGAGCTGGTAAGCAGGTTTTCCATCCTGTCTCTAGGTTCCTGCCTTGGCTTTCCTTGATAATAAAGTGTAGCCTGTGTGTTAAAAGGAACCCTTTCTTCCCCAGGTTGTTTTTGGCTAGTGGGTTACTGTTTTTATCACAGCACAAAGAAGTAAACTAATGTAATTAGTGTTGTGAATTACTTGTGGATGTTTATTTTTTTAGTCTGTATCTTAGTAGTTAACCCTTTCTAGTATACATAGCATTTTTCATCTGTGCTTTACACAGCTGACTCACTATAGATATCTCTGCTACTTTACTTCATAGATTCATATGGAGCATCTTAGACTCAGGTGATTTGCATAAAGATACATAGTAAATAATGGTGAAACACCTTAACTGACATTCCTCTTATTAATACAGAGGTAATCAAAGTTAATTCTCTTAATTTTATTTTAATTTAATTTTTTTTTTTAATGAAATGTAGGATGGATTTCCATCTAGATTCTTCTTCTATACTCCAATATCCCTAATGTGACAAGGAATCTCTAGTTTAGAGAAACAGTTTGTTAGTTAAACCATCACAATTTTTGCTGGTAACCACTAAATCCCCATCTTCTGGTCTCTGTGCAATGAATGGTTTGAATTGGCTTCTAGATAAGACTCTGAGCTGCCTCTGCAAAACAACCCAAAAAGTTTAATTTAGACACTCATCAATTAGAGTCTGCACTCATGACAGGAAATTAAACGGAAAAAAATCAATTCCAGGTGTAAAATGTTGAACAGAGATTTTCTTCTTCTTTTTTAATTTGGTGCTTCCAGAGTGAGTACTTTCTCTATCTTAGGCTGATCCAATCTCCTTTATTTGATTGATTGTTGAATCTACTGAAGGGTGAGCCATTCACTTCAGCCTGAATCCCCAGCAGCAAGGTCAGTGAACGATGAATCCTCCCCTGTAAGGCTGGGGGTCTTTGTAGACCGGCCACCACCCAGCATGAGCTTTTTGAGTATGCAGAACACATCAGCTCAGCCTGAAGCTGGCAGTTAGTGCACACACACACACACACACACACACACACACACACACACACACACACACACACACACACACCAGCGCTTTCCCCTCAAGTGAAGCGGCATTAGCAATCGCAGCATCTCCAGCTTCCTGCGCTGAGCCCAGCAGCCACTGCTTGATTTATTGGAGAAGGAAGAAGAAACCAGTTTCTGAGGCACCGCTAAAACGCAGCTGTCACATCCAGTTGCAGGCAGACTTCTTCCCAGCTGTTTCCCTGCTCTGGCAAGAAAGTACCCTATTCCAAAGGCTTGAAGAGGAGTCTGCTTAGTGCTGCAGGTAAAACCAGTTCCTAGTTCCTCTCTTTTCTAACCTGTCAACCTCCTCACCTACTTACAGGTTAGATGCTGGCAGTTTCTTCTTTGGGTATGGAAAATCTTCATCGCAATATTTATTTTAACTGAGAAAGTCTTTTCCACAGGAAGAGAAGGGGTAGTGAGGGACTTGAGAGTTTAGCTGTGATTTTTTTTTGTTTGTTTTGTTTTTCTGATTAAAGTTTTAGTGCAGTGGACAGTAATTCCAGGTCTTCCTCTGATCTTTCCACACAGACAGCAAATGTGAGACTCAGCCTCATTTTGTGATTCACAGGCAACTTCACGTTTAGCCTAAGTGTGTGAGTCTAACCTTTGAGTTAGTTGACAATTGTTATGCAACTCTGCACATGTAATTTAAAGAGCTTTACAGATTCTTCCCCTCTGCTGGGATAAATATGTATCAGCCTTCTGAAAGAAAAGCCAATGGGAGGGATCCTAGGGACTCACTCTCCGGTATTTAAAGTGGGGTTATTGAGGCACCATGGAAAGTTGCTGAATCACAGTTTAATATTTATGTAAATTGCTGTGTTTCTTAGAGTTCAGTGTCAAATATCTTTTCCTCTTTTTTTTTTTTTTTAACCCTTAACTAGGTCTGAATGCTGTGACTTTGAAGAGGGAAGTTTATAGTTGTTATAAGTCAATTTGCCTTGGTGTACTGACTATTTTGATAAAAATGACAGGGTCAGGGTTTAAACTGGGGGTGTATTTTCCCCACCAGAATGAACTAGAATCAGGATGACATTAAATTAAATTCTCCAAACAAAACAAGAGTTTTTGTAACCAGAGCTTCTTTGCTTCTGTGGTAATGCTAGTCTGTGTAACTTTGCATGCATAACGTAATTTGACCACATGTGTTTCTATTACCAACCATTTTTTTAAAGAAAAATTTCAGAAATGTTTGCATACCTACCTCTCAACAATCATTTTGGTGTTTTCATGGACAAGTTTTGTAAGAGATTAACCACTGTAACTTAGATGAGTTGTAAAGACCAGAAAGGAAATGTTCACAAGCTCTCAGTCCTGTGTCCACATCTAGACCTTGACTTCTTTACAAGAGCAATGAGTTGAGAAGAGAGGTTTGAATGGAGTTGTGGTAAGCATTTAATGAGGAAACAAAACTTCCTGTGACTGTGTGACTGCTTATACAATGTCATGGTGCATATGTACTTGACATGGAACAGTTTCTGTTCATTACCCTTATGGGAAAATGCTTGCACCTCATTTTTTGGCTCTTGTCTTGATATGAATGCTGGCTTTCTCATGTAAGACACCAGCACAGGATTTCTTGTTGATATTGAAAGTCAAGAAACCACTTTAATGTTACTCTAGGGGCACAACTCTAGAGCCAATGAGTTATATGTGAAAAGCCTGCAAGCTACCTCCTGGGAGGTCACAGAAGAACCCAGAGAGTCCCTGTACAGATCTTAGTGGAAACTTTCCATCCATAACATGAATATAACACTTACGTTTTGGCGCTACCCTTGCCTTTCATAATACATGTGGTTTCTACTCTGGATATTCATACCCTTATTTAATTAAATAGATTCTGTAGTTTTGCTAAAAGGTAGACTGAAAAAGCACAACTTTACCTATCTTGTAACAGTCCACTTTGATTCATACTTAAACTTGAGATAACATGCACATATTTCTCTTTCCATAGTATTATGTTATACAGCTGATACTAAAGGCCTGACAATGGGTAGAGGACAGACCAGATTTGAAGTCCAATCTTATAGAGAGGCCAAGGACACTCTCTTCTTGTTTTGTCTTGTCAAATTTTTCCAATCCAGCCAACAATTGAAGAGATACGAAGTCATGATTTTAACATGCTCTGTTCAAGAGGTGAAAGGTAATTTAATTCAGTTGTTGATCTGGCTTTCTTAATGTGCCAGCTGCCTCAAATGCACTTACAGTTAGCTCCTGAGGTTTCTTGCAAGTTCTCAGTCACTCACTCTTCCCTCTAGTGTAGATTTGTGAGGCCGCTTAAATAGGTAGCCAGTAGCTTGCACATTATGGATTGTCATTCAGAGCTAACTTTGCTGAGAGGGAATCAATTTTACTTTGTTTGGAGCCTGAGGTGAGGACTCCTCTCTCACTGTGGTAGCTTCAAGTCACTGGCCCTTGATGCCATTTCTTAAGGAGAATGGCAAATTAGTGATGGGGGATTGTTATTATTTAATAAGGCAATGAAAAGAATGAAGAGTATAAAGTTAAGAAAATGAGTCATCAATGAGTACCAATGTCCAGTGCTCTTCCATCACATATGTACCAATTCTTCCCCATCAGAAGAGTGCTGCATACATTTTTTTTAAATACACATGCATTTTGACTTGAAGCTCCTTGCTGAGCAAGCAAAAGAAAAAAGAAGGAAAGGTAGCAGAATTCTCTATCATCTTTCATGGAATGCAAAGTGGTGCTGAATAAAGAGAAAACCATGTAGTTTAGTTATACTCACAAACTGGTTTTCCCCAAATTACTTTGGATTATGATGTAGCTTTAGCAATGGCACATTGCACACACCCCTCAGGTCTGTGCTGAGTGAGAGCTGTAAATTGGGAAAAAAGAAATGCTTCATAGTCTCAGTAGTGAAGAGAGCTGGGATCCAGATGGTCAAGCTTTTTATAGAAATACATCGGTGGGTGTTACAAGCGTCTCCAGCTACTAGCCTATTATATTCTGTCTAGTAAATGCAGTTTGTTGAGGGTAGTGATTACTAAAAACCATCTCCAAAGTCAGGAAAATAAACTTTCTCATGACGTTAACCTCCTTATTTCAACAGGCTAGTGTTTATCTCTGTCATCCTTAATTATCACATTCTAACACTAGAGCAGTCAGGGTCAGACTTATTGTTTTAATTTTGAATGATTTTATTTTCTGCCCATGACTCTGTTTTCCTCCCTGAGTCTCTATCACACTTTGGGAATACATCCAGGAAGAATGTGAAATGCTCTCACTGGGACACAGGACGGTTCTTAGACAGGGTTCCACCTGTCTTTCTATATGTCACTGTCTAAAGTCAACTTTTCTAATTTTTCCTAGTCTAGTACGACAGTTCTGAGAACTGCTGAGATGCATAGCTACAGCTCAGATTCTGCCTTCAGATTTCTCTCCAAAAGAATCCTGTTATTTTTTAAAATTTTTACTTATCCTCCCTTCCTTTCTATAACCTGTAGTGGGAATGTTTTCCTTTTGCTGGGGCCAAGTGTCATCCTGCTCGAGCAAAGGTATAGAAAGTGAGCCACCTAGTGGTAAAGAAGGATGATTTTCAAATTCTTAGTTCAGCCGAGATGAAGGACTAGAAAAGGACATTGCTAATTGTTTGTTATCTTTTAAAGATGTGTTACTTTTTGCATTTCAAGTGAAGATTGGAGCTACAAATACACAGTTCTTCAGCCTGCTTCACTTTTCTATCTGATATGACCTGTCCTTTTACTTTCTATATTGTATTTTTTTTTACATGAACACATTTAAAATTTGTTCATGTTGTTTGCCATGAATTAAATGACACAGGTGTTGCCCACATTAAAACATCTCACCACACAGGAGGTACTTTGTAAAGAAAGCAGTGAGCTTTCATACTCTCCATGGTACATCTATCCTGTATTTTGAATAGCTTGTATGCAAACATAGTTTAGTAGAGCACCATGTCCATACCTGATGAAATGTATGTATAATCTATTTAAATGAAGTTACAGGGATGATAATGGAAAGCTGCACACTCACATGTATATAAGCTTTTATTTTAAAGCAAAATATAGATAGATGTTAGTTAGTACCTCCTAGTATCTGACTTTAGTTGGCATAGGAGGCCTGTCTTGCAGTGGGAACTGTGTCTCTGGAGTGCTGTTGAAGTCGTGCCTTGGGAACCTCTCTTTGTGAGGATACCAGGAAAATAAAGGACAATATTGTTTTCTCTCTCTCCTTTCCTCTCTCTCTTTCTTTCAATATGGAATAATTGAGTGCAGATGAGGAATATCACACTAATCAAATTTCAGGTTATTTGCTTTTCTAATGGATCAAAAAGAAAGGTAATTTGTGGTTACCTGGAAGGTAATTTGGTTAATTCCTTAATTTTCTGTTTAATAAAGGTGGAATTCTGAGGACATAATGCTTAGGAGCATGTTTTCCAGTTTGCATTTTCTGTTTTGAATTAACTCTCTGTCTCTCTAGGTCAGCCCATTCCATTCATGAAGTTCTCCTACTGAAAACACTTATCTAGACAACAGACTTGAGTCAACTAATAACTGCTCCTTCTTAAGAATAAGGACAGAATTGTGTTAATCTTTGTTTTTCTATGTGAGCTGTCTACAGTGTGACATATGAAAACAAATAGAAATTTATACTTTCTAACTTAGCCTCAGGAAGTGATGTTTTATGTAATGTTCTGTTTATGTGTGACCTGAATGGTCAAAGCTCAATTGTCTTATCCTCTTGAGGTCTTAATGTGAAATTTGTTTCTCCTGTATTTCTAGGATGCAGATTTTCATGTCTCTGTGAAAAGAGATTTTTTTTTAAAGTCAAATTATTCAAGTGCTCATAGAATTACCATTAAATATTAGATGCTCCACAAAAATCTATAAATGCTCATTTGAAATTTTATCTATGTGCCTGAAACTGGGAGTATAATTTTGCCTGGAAATTGTTTGTCACAAGCTCATGCCCCCCTCCCCCACTATTTTTTAAACAGACTATTAATGTAGGGCTTGATTAGATGTGTCTCTTCCATGCATCCCTATTTGTGTTAACGTATTTCAAACCGATGTTCTATAAAATGACACAGCATTCACTCATTAAAGCAATAAAAAAGAGGGACTAACGGAATGGAGTCCTTCTTTACGTAAGTTTAGGTTGAAATGTATCCAGAAGATTCTCTTTTTCTGTCTCTTTCCTCCCTCTGCACTCCTCCTCGTCCCCTCTTCCTGCCTCCTTATCTAGTGTCTTCTTCCCTTTTCTTTTAAACCTGCC